GTGGGTACATAGAATTAGAAACAAGCCCGTTGAAAAGCACTGATTCATGTCATATTCATGAGTAATTTTCCCTGATAAAGGAAATTGAGACTAAAATTTTATAATACAGACAATGTAGCTGCCCTGGCCTCTCAACCATTCCAACATTACAGAGGTTAGGCCTTGGAAGAGCTCAGTTCCTTTTCTGCCATTACCTGATGGGTTTTGAACTTGAGTCAGAATTGCTCTAACATTTTAAATTGGGGAAAGTGGTGTGGAGTTTCTCAGCCTTTCCTGTTAGTGCTGCTTCTCATTACGTAAAAAACCTGAATGACAGATAAGGTCCCTTCCAACCCAAACCGTTCTATGATTCCATGTCTTTTGCTTTTCTCACAATATGTGACAAGGAAATGTTTAATTTCAGGTCACTTGGAAGGAAGGTTTCTTTTGACACAAAATCATTTGTTATTGCCGCTTTGTTCTTCAGCTGAAGGGGAAAAAAACCCCACCTTCAGTTTTCTTGCAATTGTTTTTTTCCATTTGTTGGTGTCTGTGAAGCAGTGAGTCCGTGGAATTTCTGCATGAGGCAGGGGATATGTTCTCTCGTGCACAGACCAACATTTCCCAGCTTATTCTTAAGGAAAGCATTCTTCAAAAATAATTTAAGTAAGGAGGTATTTATGTATTGCCCATCTTCTCTAGTGCTTGAAAAATGCATGGTTCATGGCCACTAGTGGTTCTTCTCATAGTGGGGAAGGTTTATTGGCCATAATCCTGGAAGTCTGGCAGTCCCCTGTGTGTCAAATGATCACTGATTGTATTGGAAAAGGATGCTTCAGTGACAGCAGGCAGCCCCTGGGCAGAAAGAGGTGTCCCTTGTCCCTGAGCAATAACCTGTATGGATGATTGAGACTTGTTGATAGACCTCCATGGAAGTCTTTCCTAGTAGTAAGAGCTTAGCAGCATCTGACTTAGTGAAGGATCTCTCAGTACAGGATGCTTGAACTTGATTTGTTACTCTCATCAAGAGGGTATAAAGGTAGGCAAAAACTGAACATGCCTTGAGGCCCAGGCAGACGCAGTTTTTCCACAGCCTCTGTCTTATGGGAGGGAAAGAAAGAAAAGGCTGCTAGAATTTACAAAATATAGTTATTGACTAATTTCTTCATCAGCAAGAGCTGTAAGAAATCAGTGAGGTCTCTCCTGAGAGACCAGTGGTGTCACCTCACGTGTCCTCAGGGTGCCAAATGGTATAAAACACTCACTTTGAAAGTACTGCACCGTGATAAGCTTTAACACCCAAGGGATGCATTTTGTGTACATTTTGTTATATGTAATGACACACTGAAAGGGCAGTGAAGCTGTTAAGGGAACACTGCATGTCTAAAAAGAACTTATTTTTCTTTCAACCAATAAAAGAAGGAAAGACTCTTTCAGAAAAGCAGTTAAAATAATATCATTTAAATGTAAGAAGTGATAAAATACCAGAGAGAATTCACCTGTCAGATGAAGAAATTCAAAACATGAAGTCTTCTGTGTAACATACACATTTCAAATTGGACCATTTTCCTGATAAAGCAATAGAACTCTGCCAAAAGCTTTTAAAATAGTTGATATATATACAAAATTTTAAGGCTGACACAACCAGCAGAACAGCAACAATTATTTAAAACAGATTTGAAAAATAAAGAAAAAGAATGTAATTTCATGTAGTCATTCTAGACAATGTGTAAGAGGCTGTGATATTCAACAAGACCAAAGTTGGATGTGAGACTCTGGGAGTTTTTCAGCAAAGATGATTTTGTGGAAATACAGTTCAGTGCATATAAAAAATGCCCCTAGAGGTGACTACAATGCTAACAACAATATTTTGAAACAAAGCTAAAAAAGACTCATATTCCCTTCAATGTAATTCCATGTGGACATATTCAAAAATTCTGTACAGCCTCAGTGTGCTGGGGCCCATTTTCCAGTAGAAAACTTATGGAAATGTATATGAATGTTTTCATGTATTTCCAATACAAAAGTACTTGCCTTCCTTAAACTTGACACAGAATGATATCTGACTATATGAAATCCCAGTCAGCAAGTGACAAAACAATTGGGCAAATGCATTTCTGATGAACTTTAAATGTGAAATTTAAATTGCACAAATAATACATTTTATATTATTTAGAAATAAACCAAGGCTCATAAAAAATAGAAAAATGAATTGGGTAGGATGGTGCAGTTGCATCTACTCTTACCTCAGTTCCATCAATCACTGTCAGTTAATTATCATTAAGATGGCATAAAAAAAGGCCCCTGTGGGAGTTGGATAGGCTGTGAGCATCATTCTTTCATTAAAAACAAGATAAACAATATAAGCCTTGTTTTAATTTTTGGTTTTGTTTGTTTTGTTTTTTTCATTTGGGTTTTTTTGTATTCAAAGAAATTATGTGAAAAGATGAATCTTGAATAATTGTGCTGAGAGTTACCATATGGATTGCAGAGACAAGGCAATAGAACAAGGGATTCAAAAGAAAGTTGGTTCTTGTCAGGAAAATTTTAAAGATTTTAAATTTCTTTCTTTTTTTCTTTTTTCTTTCCTTCCAGAATTCAATAGGATTTCCCTTTCTAAGGCGCAAAACTTGCAGGATTTTTAAAAGAAATGCTTGCTTTTTAGTGAGCTGTGCTGTTTTTACATCACCAGGGTTTATACATGTAGTTTAGAAACCTTCTTTTTCAAAAAAAGTGTCTAAAATTTAAAGTCACATGACTCCAAAAGGTGATTCTTCAACAGAACACGAGCCAGCATGAAACTCACTATGAGTTGAGAATGCAGAAATTTTTGGAGCTTATGAGCTGATCTGTGGGGCTCAGCTCATGAGCACTTAACTAATGACAGAAATAGGAATGCAGTAGTGGGCAGGAGAAGATACTATTATTTCCAGGGTGCATCCCTGCACTGCTGAATAGCAGTTCACATTGTTAAAAGTGTCAAGGTTTATTAATAGTGCTCACCAGTATCCCAAACACGGGTTGGTACCTGAGCTCTGTGAAACTTCTGCCTTTGATATAAAATTGTTTCTGTCAGCTTGTGCTTGCTCAGCCTGAGGATCACAAGACTTTCCTGGCCAAACATCTTCTCAGTAAAAAGGCGGCTGCAGAGATTCAACTGAGCTAAACTAGCTATGATTTTATATACTTACATAAACTTATATAACTAGAACATATATATATATATCTTATAAATTATAATTTGTTTATTGGTATTATTTTGATCAATTTATATAGATATATAAATTTATACAAATTTATATAAATAAAATAACATGCTTTTTTTGCATCTTTGAATAGTTATTTGTCATGGGAAAACATTTGTGTTATAGGTAATATCTTTTGGTTGTTTGTTGGGGTTTGGATTTAGTTTTTTTAAGTCAGGCTTCATTGTTAACTCTTTTTTTCCTCCTAAATGACAGAAGTGCCTTAAGAACAAGAACAATTTAAAGTTTGATGCCTTCAGGGCCAAAGGCTTCTCTGTTAATCAAAACAATAATTAAAACATCCCAAAACCTTGCACTTGGAATTAGCCACATTTTTTTGGCAATTGCTCAAATGAACCTCGGAGCTGGAGTCATGTAAATGCAAGTTTTCCCATACAGATGTCAAAGAAACAAAAGGCCTGTAAATGTCACCACCTCAAACCAAAATGAAGTCTTTAACACTGCTGAGCAATGGTTTCTAATGAGGACAAATGACTGACTTAAACTAGAGCAAAGCTGCCCTATTTAGGGCTCTTCAGGCTGAAGGCAGCCCATCAGGACAATTCATCTGCTCCTTGTCGACCTCCTCGTCCTCCTGGGAAAGCCTCTTTGCCCAGACCCAGGCTGTAGACTGCACTTAGGGTGTGATGGGCAGCCAGATGGTCACAAGTTAGGGAGACCTGTGTGCAGATCAGGTCAGGCAACTCACGTTGTCCATGCACCCTATTTTATTTTATTGGGTATGTTCTGACATGTCAGGAAAGATTATGCTTTGGATAAAACCTTATCAAGTAAGCTCATTTTTACTCCCATATCATTGCTCCATCCTGAGTGGAGTTTCTTCATTATTTAGTTATTAGAGAAGGAAGGTCCTCCAATGCCAATTTCATTTTGCAAGGTTGGGCCAATGTTAGCATGTCTGTAAACTAGAAGAAAAGGGAATTAGGCCATAGCAGAAAGGGACAGTGCATCTTGAAAGAAAACTAAGACTGAAACCCTAACCTCTCCTAATTTACATATGGTGACATTTTGCAGAAATATTGTAACATTAGCAGTGGCATAATGAAATTCTGCCTATCAGCCGTGGAAGGAATAATGTTACTGTAAAGGTAACCTGTCCACAGTTTGTTATCAAGGAAATATTCATGGCAAGAAACATACATATACCAATGAGTGTTAAGAACAGTAGTTTTTCCTTATATTTTTTCCTCATGGGCTATCCATCTTCCCCTCCAGATTTACTGCATGATCACTCCCTTTACATGCTAATTATGTGCAGCTCTGGTGAATTTGTTAGTAGTGACACTTTGGGCACCCAGTGGGACTGCAACTCATTATGTGGCAATGTCCAGATATATCAGATATTATTAGCTGTCATTAATCTGCTGTGGAAACATTGAGTGCACAGCCAAGAGAGAGACCAGGAAATAGAGTAAAAATGAAGTCTGCAGCCACCCTGGCCCCCAGAAGGTCAGAGGGCAAATCAGCAGGGGAGAAGAATACACCTTAAAATGGCCAGTGCTTAGCAGTAGATTTTTAACCCATTGTAAACCAGCATTTCTAAGAAGAGGAAAGACAAAAACAAACTGAACTGTTTGTAGTGGCTGTTTGGTTATGCTTTACTGATGGAAAAAAGAATACAACATCTCAAACTGTCTTTTTTATAAGCTATTTTCTACAAATGAATCACAGCAGTAAAAGCGTGTGAATAGGAAGAACAGTGAGCAACATGCAGTATCTCTCAGTGTGGATAGCCCTCAGGCATAAAGCTTTGAAATTAGGCACGTGTAACTTTGAATAGGATTAGGTTCCCCCTCCATTTGAAGGTCATATTTTATAGAACTGGATCTGGTAGTAGAGAAAATCCCACAGAAATGGAGAGGTTGCTCTCACTGTTCATCCAGTCCTGGAATTTGCCTGTATAAATGCAGGAGTTTGCCTCTAGACTGCAAATGCAGAGCTGATCGGCCTCTGTTACGCAGCTTAAAAACACAAATCACAGTAGGTTGCATTTTTGGCACCACTCCTGAAAAACAGTCACTGGTAAAAGTTACATATATTTGTGCTTGTGCAGCATTTATTACATCTGCTTGGAGTGCAGAAATAAAAACGAAAGACAGATTCTTCCCAGAAAACTCCATAGTCTTTGCGATCTCCAAGATGACTTGCAGAGTACTGCCCAGGACTATAAGAAGAAGCATTTTCTTTCTTTACATCAGCTAAAGAGGCTGGAAGAATCCAGTCAGGTTTCAAGACAAGAAGAGTCTTCTCTGGTCTGAAATTAAACAGAAAACAGCAAAGTAGAGATTAGGAATCTCTGAGTTTAATGGTGATATATTTATTACCTAGACAATTTTCAGAGCAGAGGAAAGGTAATAGGTTGGTTAGTCTGTGTGTGTCTGTAACTTACATGTGCCTTTTGCTACTGTCAAAGGGCACTCTGAAAACTCAGTGACCTTAAAATAAAAATAAATAATAAGATAGGGGGATTTGAGATAGAAAAAACTACATTTTATCAAAGGAAGTAAAAGTAATCTTTTGTTTCCAAGGTTACAAGGACCTACGCTCCCTTATCTAGAAGCTGCAGTGCTTTTGTTAGAAGGTTTATACAAAAATTAAAGAAAAGAAATCACCCGAAAAGTCTTCAAAAAATGACAGCTTATACTTGTTCAGGGAAGCTGGAGTGAAGTTCTTCATCCAGTTGCTTGGAAATTTCTCAGTGAGCCACCCATCTGAATTTCCTGAAGGAATTTGGGAAGTACCGGTTTTATTCCCATTAAAGTGGTCTAATCTTATGTTTCACAATTTTTCACACAATTCACAATGAGGGTAATAACAGGAAAAAAAAGGCCTGATGTTTTATTTATGGACCTATCTTCAATTTGACAGACTCTGATAAACCCGTGCAAAAACAACTACCATGGTTAAGCTTTAGGTTACCTTAAATTCTGCACAATCCCATGAAATAGAAAGTAGTATTAGTATTTGGTGAAATGGTTCCCATTAATACTTCCCAAACTAACAGCCATTCATGAACTCAAGTTCTAGGAAAAGATTCAAAAGTCATTTTGGTGTAATTGTGGGGTTTGCAGAAACACCCTGAAGTGCTAGGAAGAGCAGTGTTAGCAATGGGGCAGGTGGCGAGTACCTAGGGAAATAAAGAAGAAGCACTTTTATCCTTGGTCTTGAACCTTTGCAATTTTGGCGTTCAGGAGGATTGGTTTATTTTTGTGTGAGAACAATGTAATATCAAAGAAGAGTTACAATTCAATGGCACTAATGTGGACAAAAAAAAAGGTATGAGACATTCCAAGTGCTGTATGAATACATTCAATAAGTTGGTGATGGATTCTTTTTTAGTCTTTTTCTAGTGTTTATAAAATTCTACAAATACAGCATACCTTACCCTTTTTCCAGTGGAGGGAAATAAAAATTTATTCCAGTTTTTTTTTCCTTTGAGTTCTTTGGATAACCGAACATGAGGTGAATACTGTTTTAGCAGTAGGTTAACGAGTTATAGGTCAGGCTTACAGTGGAAAAATTACAGTCAGCCTCTGTGGTTCTGTGTTTGCCAAATTTACACTGATGAAGTTGTTATGGTAGGCTCACCTTCCCCTCCCCCCTTCCCCCGTAGAGGAACATATTTGTTATTTGCCCATCAAGATTATGTTGTCTTTTCAGTGCCTAATGTTGCTCCTTAAGATCCTGCAGGCACTTATTTTCACATTTAACATGATACGCACGAGTAAGCCTCACTCAACTGGTAGAACTAGTCAGGTGTAAAACTCTGATGTGTGTACTCTGTAGGGCTGGGACCTAAGCAAATTCCACACAACACAGAAGTGTGTTACATTTTACAAAACTCCATCATTTCATATTCCATTGTTTGTAACAAGATGAAGATGAAGAGTTAGGTCTTATCTAGAGAGACCTGTATCAGCAATGCTAACAAAGATATCTGCACAGCTGTCTTTGATATTTATTGTACTGATATGGTGCACTAAATGTTCAGTCTTTTAAAAGATGATATATACATATATACTCTTCAATATATATATACAGAATTGTTTTCAAAGTAAAATCCTAGGGATAGGTTTAAAAAGATTGTAAGTTGTAACATAATGGCAGGTCATAACCTTGAATTTAGAGTGTGGAGAGTGCTGGAACTCTCTTTTCCTCGAGACTCAGAAAATTCAGAAGTAGAGTGTAAAAAACCCTAGCAGCAATTTTATCTTCCAAGATGAGCATGAATACCTCTAGGAATATCCCACTGATTTGGATTTTTTTTCCTTATCTGCTTTGTGAAAGCTAGTCATAGTTATAGATTCATAGTGTATAAAGTGGGCAAAGTTAGTTGTAATTAAGACTATATTCATCTTTCTGAAAGTTAAAAGCAACGTCAGCTCTGAACTGATATATCTGCCCAGGAGCTGCGTGTGAGCTGTTAGATCATTTGCTAATACTGTCAGATACTGTGAGAGAGCTGTGCTTCCTGAATTTTAGGGTCTACATTTCCTCTGCAAATGTCTGCAAGTGGCAGGGCTCTGTCACAGCTCTGCTCTTCTTACCTCATGCAGCACTTGCCATAAATTACCCCACTTCATGTAAACAGCAATCACTGCTTAGGATGATTCACTGTTTTTGTGATGTTTACTAGGTGAAAATGTAAGGAGAGATGAGTTTAAGTTTAGACTCATTGCAGTTTTCCAGATGTTTCCTGGACATTTATTCATTATCATCGTCACTCATTTAGGTGACTTAGACTCCTGCAGAATAAGGTACTAGTTAGCATGAGTGAAGAGGGGAGAATCTGATCTGAAATTATGGAGCTGTGAGTTGTCATTAACATTTTATTTAGAAGGATTCTGGTGCAGCTGAGAAAGGAACAAGGAAATGCAACCAGAGCAATAAGACCACCAAAGCTCAGGGCAATATTTCAAGGCCACTTCTTGAAAAATCTAAAGATTTTTACTATATTTTCCGAAGTCACAGATGTTTTTTATTATTGCTAGTATTTTTATTTCATTAGCACTAAAAGAATGGAAATCAGAGCCCTTTTGCTGTTTTTCTGTCTAGAAAAAAAAGGTAGGAGTATTTTGAACCCCAGAAAAAAAACCAACTTAAATGGATAAAACATTATCCAAGATTAAAGAGAGACTGTTTCAAGTGTGTGGAATGATGAACATTTGAGAATTCACGTTTCATCACCACAAATCATTGCAGAAATTGTGTTGCACATGTCTATGCATGTGTCTGCCTGTTTACATGAGCAGAAAATACATATCATTGGATCAAGAGTGAACAACAATTCGACAAGCCTCCACCAGACAGTTGTAACTGTTTATTTCAGATAGAAACAAATTATTTCACAACAAAATACAGATAAACAGACCTTTAAATTCACTTGAATTTCATTTAGAGAGAAGTCATATTATGCAGTACCAAAACATAATAATTTCCTAGATTTATTGTAATATGTTTCTAAACACATCAGGTGTTTACTGAGGTTTAGTTTCCTTAAAAGCATTGTGGTTATGCATTCAAATTTTGACCCTTGTTTCCAGTGTTGTAGAATCAACTGCCTCTGGAAAAAAACAAAAAAGAAAGAAACAAACAAGCAAACCCCCCTGAAGCAACAAAAAACAAACAAACACAACTAGAAACTCCAAAACAAACAAACAAAAACACTGCTGAAGTTTTTTCAGGAGAAAAAGATTTAGAGGTTTTGGGGGACTTTTTCTATTCCCGCTAACAAAGCCAAGGTTCTGCCCTGGTGGCCTGAACCTGGATCAATCCAGCATAACACTGCATTAGGCGGATGCCTCTTCTGGATGTGTTAAAGATCCTAGTGATCTCTCTCACTTTCTTCCTCCACTGTGTACCCAAATCTACCCTTGTTTTGACAGCGTCCCCTTTTGAACAGCTTTATATGATTACTTCCATCCACAGGTTACTTTATTCAAGTGGATTTGCCACAAGAGCACTTGCCCATTAGCAATCTCTTCTGCAGCCTGCTTTAAAATCTGCTTATAGTTATGGCCAGATAAAAGCATGTGAGGTCAGTTTGGTAGAGCAGAGACAAATACTTTAACATAAGGTTTTCTATTCTGTGCGAGCAGCTAATAAAAGTGCCTGCAGGTGTTGAGAATTATCCTTCTCTTGGAGATTTCTTTGCAATCTGAACCTAATCTTGGCAAAAGCTTTGGCAAGGATATCTGGCACATTAATTAAATTACTTTCCCACCCCCACAGGTCTTATGCTGTAGCTTTGATTAACCACCTCTGTGCCCAGGATACAAACTGCAGGATAGACATTATCAGTTTTGCAGGTGTATGGATGCTAGAGATAATATGGGATTCCTTCTTTATCTGGATGGATGCTCCTTACTGTTTCAACACTACACAGCTTTTCCTTTAGCTCCCGCTACAGGGATCCTGCAGGCATATTACGAGATTTTAGTATGAAGACCTTTTTATTCAGTATGTATCTCTGGATGGCCTTTGCTGAGAAGTTTCAGATCCTTAGGGGAAAATGTCTTACTCCGCCAAAGCTCCCCCTCTATTTAAATGGCTTTTCCTTGCTATAGTATCACAGCTGTGACACATCAAAGCTAGTAGCTGGTGTGGCAGGACATGCATTCCCAAATCAGCCTCAGTGACGAAAGGTGATTTGCAGTGACAGGTTTCATATCTTACGGTGTCATTTTCATGAATGACTTGGTTAATTAAATTTAATGTGGAACAAGAGCTTGCTTACATTCTGCCAGGCTTAAGATGTTCTTACTCACACCTTACTTAAGGAACAATCCCTACTGTTGAATAAGGGCTCCAGGATTTAGCCCTCTGTTAGCAGTCTTCCATAAACCCTTTGTTTTCCTAACATGTTAAAAACCAAGGCTTAATGGGTTCACGATGACATCAGTTATCAAGATTTGTGTGGTGTTGGCAGATGTTGAATTTTCAGTGGAAAACCATTAAACAGATTTGAGTCAGGGCAAGTTTCATAACATGCACGTATTATACCGGTTGTTACATGTGTTGACTTCAGCTTTATTTATTACAAAAGAAAACAGGCCTGTACTTATACAACAACAGCAATGAGAAATTAATCTTCTGAATAGGAAAATCAGTCTTGTCTTGTTAAAGGTACTCAAAGTTACTTATTGAGCATGCTGAGTTTGCAAAAACTATGTCTGCAACTTTCAGATTTAATAAATCTAAAATTAAATATTAAAAAAAATAAGAAAAAATATTTTTTGGAGACCTGGGATTGTT